TTGTAACATCACATTATTTATCTACACAAAACACAAACATGCTAATGTACCAAAATTATAGTAGTTCACTTTTTACATCATCACGTTACACTTTAAAAAACAACACATTGCACTTCACAAAATAACAAGCTGCACTTTATCACGACTAACAAATTGCACAATAGTTATCAAAACCGACTGAACTCAATTTTTTTTCAACAAATAATAATATGAAATTATTAAGATATTAATTATAATTTTAATATAAATAACAAATTATTTGATTATTTACAATAATTCAGTTATCCTAACCAAATAAACCAATAGATTATGTTCATTTTCATATGGGACAAAAGTTCGGTTGGTTCAATATGCACAATACAGACCGACATTGTGCACCACAGAGTTGGGCGAATTGCACTTTAGTAACTGTTAGATTGAACGGTATATTTCATATACATACTAATTTTTTAATAAAAAAATATAAAACATAAAATTAAAACATATTAAATACTAATCATGTTTTTTTTAAAATAAATCATATAATTTATGTCAATTATTTTGGTAATTTATATTAATCGACTAATTAATCAGATTGTGTCGAAATTTTCAATTCAAAATTTTATATTTCATTCTAATTGTTTATTTTTTACTTTTAAAATGTAGATCTATACACAATATTATGCAATTAATTTATCGAACAAATAACATATTTATCGAAATTTTAATAATTTCATATACACAATCAATGTTCGTTTGACGGATGTCGGGCACTTGAGGAATCTTCCTACAAAGTTAAATGTGTTAAATAAAGGCCTAGAAAAACTATTTTACCATCACTAAATAAAAATATACATATATTAAATAAAAGTTTATAAATTACAAAATAGTCCCTCAAACATATCTAATTTACCAAAACAAAATCCATCCCCCAAAACAACCTCCCCTCACTCGTCCTCAGCCCACCTCGCTACTGCCAACCCACCGACAGCAGGGGTCTCCGTCAGTCCGCCACATATCGGCCGGAGTCGCCGTCAACCGCCGCATCTCATCCGTCCTTGCCGCCGCTACATGGACCAAAATCATCCCCAAATCGCACAAATCATAATAAACAACCCAAACACGCTGCTGCTGTCATCCTCAAACACGAATCTCTGACTTCCGGCTACTACCGCCGCAGCTTTATCTCCGCCAGACGAGTCGGAGCTGTGGTGGACGGACGGGTCGGGCTAAGAGGCGGACCGGTGGTGAAAGGCGAAGGCGAGGTGGCGGTCTGTTGAAGGTTGGCGGTTGTTGCCGTCGATATTGGAGCTCTCGTCGTTGCCCTGAGTTCTGGACGGGCTGACGGAATCGCCAGACGGTAATAGCAACGGGGATGTTGACGGCGGCAACATGACGGACAGCGCTTGATGCGATGGTGTGAGCTGCCAGCGGACGGTGGTTGTATGTGATGTGTGTGACTGTCGCCGGCGGTGTGATTTTTTCCGGCGGCCTGTGGAGAGGTGTTTTCTGTGATGGTGCATGTGTGTGTGAAAGAGGGAGAGCGAAAGAGACGACGTGATAGGGAGAGATGAGAGATAAATCTGGTTTTATGATTACATGTGAGTCCCATTGATTTTGGTGTAGGGTAAATTACATCAATACCCCTGATGTAATTATTTGTCCATGTATATTTATGTATTTTCGATTTTGCCATTAATGAATTGACCATTGTTCTTTAATTTTGACTTAATTATGTTCATTGATCGTACTGATTCAATGGTCTATAATCATTCTTATTTCTTTCATTATCTACCATTCTCATATGATCCTTTCTCTCTCTCTCTCTCTCTCTCTATATATATATATATATATATATATATATATATACAGGGTTGCGCTCCGGTGAGAATGGTGCTCAGTGAGAGAAATAAGAATAAATTTTAGCCATTAGATCATATGATCTAATGACTAAAAAAAATACCAATTTTTACACTCATTGTAACATCCCGCTTATCAGAGTAAATTTTTCGCAACTTTTATTTCGAAATTACTTATAACTCTTTCGAAATCTTTTTGCGAATAACTCGGGAAGTTACTTAAACTCCTCCTTCATAAAAATCTGTTTAACTTTAACTTTGTCTAATTATTTATTTTAGACATAACAAAACAGATTTATATATATACTTGCATTTAACTATATCATGTTCATATTTATGAAATGATAAAAACTTGAAATCTGAATTTATTTAAAATGCAAGTTCACATATTAATAAGCGTAGCGGAATTACTTAAAAACGTGAATAATTATACAGACTTATTTCATTTATTACAAATGTCCTTTGAAACGAGTACTCGACCATCACCACCACTTTATTTGCTCACACCTCCGGCCCGACCCTGTTACCTGAAAAACATAATGGGGGTGAGTACTGGTCCTTTTGTACCCCGTTAATACCCATACTAAAGTAAACATCAATAATAATACAATATCATGATCTTTGGTATATATATAATAACTGTAACTTAATCTGGCCGATATATTATCGGATACTTGTGCACAATCTGATGGATATTTCTAAGGCACGTATCGCCTCCATCAGAACTTAGGATATAATCTTCGAGACAAATTAATGCCTCCTCATCCCAAGCGTATAAACTTAAACTGTATACATACCTCGAACATGATAACAATATTATACTCAATGTAATACCCAGTCTGGGTCCCCACCTTTCTCCTTTGAAATCGTAAGTGTTGGTCTCGAGTAGCTAACTCTTCAAGCTACATAAAAATACGTAAACAAATATACTAAGTACTATGCTCGTATACTCGGATTTTCAACTCTTTCGGATAAATCATCCAAATCTTATAAAATCTCAATATTCTTGTTATGGTTCAAACTTTTCTTGATCTTTTACTCAATCAAATACTTACTCATATTATTTCTCCCAAATCTTATACATATGGCTTATACTCATTTTTCACTTGATTATCTCGAAAGTGAAAAATAACTCAAATCATACTAAACTTTTCATCATAATATTAATATGTGAGATTTACAACAATCTTTATAAAATTGTATACTCAACATATTAAACTAAAACTTGGTCAAATTGCTCATTACTCATATAAGAATTTTTTTCTAAAAATTCCATTTTAAAACTTAACCATGTACTAAATACTCTTGCATATAAAATCATCTTGACATGTATGCCATATAAATATTTTAACTCGCTCATTTCTCAACATAAAATCATGAAATTTGGCAGTCATGTTCTTAACCCATATATAAGCATGTCGTAAAAATTTCATAATTTTATCATGCGTATATATCGAGTTATTAAAATTTTAAAGTCACAGCTGAAATAAAGAACATAAAATTCAACTTGCATGCTTAACTTCAAAAATTTATAACTCAAGCTATACTATGCCAAATGACATAATTCTTTCACCTATATACTCAGCACTTACACAAGAAATATCCATAATAAGCTTAACATACCAGGTTATGCATATCATGCTCAAATTCAAATCAAAACAGTACATATATAACATGTGATTGTGCTGGAAACAACTTATCATATTTTTTTCATTTTTAAAATTTCTTTAAAAATTGAATATATATATATGGCATGAAAATACATCAATATTCACTTAATATAAACTATAACAT